CAATTAGATCATCAAAAACTATGTTATGTGTATTTTTTATTTCACGTTACACGCTGTTGTGGTAAAACGTCTCACGGCGAACTTCTGTTATCTCCATCAAAACCAACAACTAGTTTAAAGCGTCTTTAGGTTTCTGGCATGTATATGCTGAAAATGTTTTATATGAACACACAAGTCCGTCAGACGTATGTGTAACTGAATGACTTTCTTCTAATTAAGAATCTTAAAGAATGACTAGTAGTGTTCCACTTTCTCGTGACGATCCAGATCCGCTGTGCTAAATTTTTGAACAATCTGTCTATCTTAGTGGGTTTGGTTACTTCAAATCAAAGAAAGACGTCATGTGCGAGGATGTTTGTATTTCATCATCTGCATTGTGGGCATTTGGGGATCACCTATAGGGTGACTCTCGAAATGCATCAAGATTTTACTGCAAGATTTTTAAACGTGCGGTTTATGTGCAGCTTTAACCTGGAATTTTAGGAGATATCAACGCGTGTGAAACATCGGCGAGGTTCCTTATATGCGCTTTTGAGTGAGAAGTACCATACCTCAACTTAATTCCCTTAAAAGGCAATGATTATTTTCCGCTTTTGAGTTTTTGGCTCGCCCAAGACAATTTCGTTCGGAGCAGATGAACGCTTTAATGTACATTCATTTTCTCTGGCTCCTAATGCCAGCGTAAAACCAGCAAATTTCTTTTGGAATAATTGGCAGCTGATTAGGGTTACAGTATGTTAGTAGGAAAAATATGTTTTAATGTGTCTTGTTGTTACAGCCTTGGAGGGCTTATGGTTTTTGGCGATTTCTCAGTACATATTCTCATGACAGTCCGCCGCTTTAATACGATCCTGGCGTTTAAAAATCCCATGCAAGTGCATTTATCATTTTGTCATCCGGTGGAAGTGTTCCGAGATACATACACGCGGAAGTCATGCGAAAAATTGGAAATGTTTGGTTAATATTCTAGTTAGCGTACACTTGACTTAACTTACCACCTCTCGTACTTAAAATGAGATATACTGCAATGACTTCAGTCTGAGATCTAAGGGAATGTCGTCAATCATTCATGGCCATAAACAATTTAAAATTATCACTGATAGTCTATTAGTCTACTGCATGAGGCTGAAAGTTGTACGTTTTTCCGTGCTCGTTTAAGTCGTTAACAACTTTGCATTCCATTTTCCGCTTATTTAAATTGCGAAAAATCTTCATTGGCTAATTCTCCTGTGCAGTTATTTATTTGCACAATCGACCAGTGCGTGCATAAAAATGGCATTTTGCCTGCCAGAACTTAACTAATCTTCTACATTTCCTCCAACGTGACAGACATCAATCACACACCAATCACCTTAAGTGGATAACATGCAGTTGCAATGGTTACAGTATAAAATTTTGAAATTTCTAAAGAGTAAAAATCGCTGAAAGATATCGAAAATCTCATCAAATTTTATAGTAGTGGCCAAAATTCGGGACACTACCTGTAGGCTTTATATTTGGGCTGATGCGTTTTACATGGGACTGGGATGATAATAAAGCGATCGATATAGTATTTCTGGCACGTATCTATTCCAAAACGCGAAAGTACGAACAAAATAACCGCTGATAGGCAATAAACAATTAGAGTTACACAGCGCGTCCTTAAAATAAGTCATGCACACGTAGCCTCCCCATACCTTATTCAGCCTAACGACATCTTCACACAATAAAACTGTCCATCTGTCATTGTGCATTATTAGTCCCTGCGGATTAGGTGCTGTACGACTACAACAGCTCAGGTTAATACAACTGCTTTCCTCTGATCGTATGTTCTTCTCCTTTCTAATAATAATACACTCATGCAGGGCTTTGTTTAAAAAACCCGTAGACTACATTTGCTCTTCCTGTTTATTCTGACCTCCCTTGTAGTCATCCACTACTGGCTGATTTCTAATGTAATCAGCTTGACAAGAAGCCCGAAATTGAAAATATCAATAAACGTACAATGTTCGCCGTAAATAACTGCTCAGTCTAGCTTTAACCACATGAGTCTGGACACCAGCATGGCTATTTCTTGCTGAATTTCTTCGGTTCGGATCTGAGTCAGTCGATCTTCGACCACCCATAGAGACTGTTGGCTCTACATTCTATGACAGGTTATGTGCTCTCAGTTTCGCGTTGCAATCGCGGCAATGGTTGGTCTCTCCCGGGTCGATGGCGTTAATTTAACTAAAAATTGCGGCTTCCATCTTCCTTGCGTTTGTCGTCAACTGTCATGGATTACCGATTGTTTTTCATTAGCCAGTCGCTCGCGCAGTTAAAATCGTTCTTTGCCGAAGACGATCCTACATTTACTCCGCTATTTGCTTTCAACAGCATACTCGGCCACATGTAAAGGTTAACAGTCATTATACATCGTTTGAGAGCGCCTTTTCCTTTGGTTGTAATTGATCCTTTCGTTTATTCTCAACTCAGTGACTCACACTTCCATTCCACCTGGTGAGGAGGCATTAGGTCGTCCAGCTTGCTCACTGTGGTTGATCGCAAGACAAAGTGACGCATACATGAGAATTTTATTGGGAAATTATTATTTACATGGTACATAGAAGCATCCAAACCATTGCAAATATTGGCCATCCTCGGTAATTGAACGATAAATTCGAGTAGAAATGTTGCATCTTTGTATTCTGCGCTATGCCTTGGTATAGTGCAAACCAATTCATCAAAACACTGAATGTAGTGTTTACAAACCCGACAGCAAGGTATGTTGGGCTTTGCGACAACACAGTATTTGATTGTAAGGAAAGAAATTGTATGGAATGCAAAATAAATAAGACTTAGTCAGGCAAAACTGTAAGACCTTTTTGAAATTGTTTCAATCTTTTCCTGCGACTTCTTCCGTCGCTTGGCTATGCTGTCGACCACTGAAACCCCGTACATCGTGTAGATTGTCGCTGCACCCGCACGAAAACGATCCCTTTGCAAGAAAAAGAAAAAAACAATTTAGAGCATTTAGCTTTTTAGGGGAAATTAATTTCTACTTAGGCAATTTACGTGTGGTACCGCCTAAGGCGTGTCCACAAGTGAACTAAGGCTTCCTTTGCCCTAAAATATTCAACGACAATTTGCCTGTGAACCACGGGTTGTGATTTTTGTTTTGATTCGTTCACTTTCCCAGACCGAGTTTATTAAATTCCCTCGTATGTAATATATGTTTTTATATATTCAAGTGGGTCGACAGACCACTATATTGAGATAAATTTCGGCGGGTAGCGTAGAGTTTAAACTATTGTCAGGAATGCTTAGTCTTTGGTGCGGACAGCTCTTTGTCACTTGATCTATGGGTTTAAATTTGGGAATATCTCTTGCGGGATGCAAGCAACAGCATGGTCGATGAAATTTTTGCATCCGAGTAGTTACTTGAGTCCTTTTATGCACTTCAGTGTCAGCATGTCATGAATATCTCAGGAAAAGATTTGTTCCGGGTTTTGGTAGCTTACTGGTTGCTGAATATTTCAAAATACCAAACAGATTTACTTGGCCCTTTAGAGCTTATACAAGACTGCCAAAGTCGACCATTTAAATCGTATGCATTTTAGCAGCCGTACGTTTAAAAAACGCAGTATAAGAAACTGCCATGGTCAATTAAGCAGAGAATAAAAAAAAGAATAAGGCAGAATAAGTCAGAATAAGTGGTCCAAATTTAAATTTAAAGGTTTTCTGTTAAGCAATGTTGGAGCGAAGTCGTTTAAACAGTATGGGTTAATTTCTTATTTCGCGTTCTCAACTGGTGCGCAGTTTACATGTTTGTCGTCGCAAAACTATTATTTTTATTTAAGTAACTTAAGCCCAACCGGTAAATGGCGTTAAGTGACAAACCTTCTGTAAAATTAGAAAAAATCATATTTTTATTTGAGGTGGAAAACTGAACATATTCATAAAATTTCAATACAGATCATATCATTTATATGTACCTATATAGCAATTAAAGCTACTCTGAGCATCAGTACAACTATTGCATATTTTTGTATACTAATTACACCAGAGATTACTACGTGCTAGATCCCTACTTCTGTCGATGAATATACAAAATTAATAAAAAGTTATTTCGACATGCGCCGGTGAACATTCTACCAACACCCGCATTGCAGTATTGGTTAATCAACAAACATCTTTTGAGGTATCACGGTAAAATAGAGAGTACGTAGCCTCTCTTGTCATCGGGACCTTATGCAACAGATTGAGTCACAGGTGGTGGGTGCTAATAAACTCAAAAAACTGGAAAGCAAACAACAGGCCCTAGGTAGTGTGTTAGTCATGTTGATAATATCATTCATTTGGGAAACGAATGGTAGTCATGTAAAACTGAACCACGCAAGAGTACTAGTAAAAGGTAAGCACATAATATCCTGGGTTGAAGTGGTCAGATATGCATCTTCATTTGATACGTAGCTGTCGTGTAAGACTGCAAAGGGGCCACACAGGTCAGTAGCCCACATTAGTCGGACGGCGCAGAGTTTGGATATGTCATTAACAGTCAACAGAGATGCCTTCTGCGTGCATTAAACCTGGGATTAGAGAATATCAGTCACTGCATTTTATATCGTAACTAGTAGATAAAAAGGTTCGTTGAGGCTACTAGCCGTTAGTCGGCTAAGAGTTCCGCAGGGAATAGTAGCACATGGCAAGGCAAACACTGAGCAGTTGGTATTGAAGTATGCTTCCTCGTGAAAATTCACGTCTTCATTGGAGTCGTATTTATGACAGCAAGCATGTGAACTACACAACGCAATCATAATTGAGGGTAAGACAGTGGCAAAACCGTGGACTCTTACTGCCGTATCGTGACCTTGGTAAGAATACCAGTGCTTTAAGCTACTTTTTGTGCAGGCGGCCGTAAATGAGCTCATTCTAGAGCTGACATCCTGGCGTGACAGAAATCTCTTGAAATTATCCCACAGGATGATCAGTATCACAACTCCAACTAACCAATGCTTTCTAATGGAAAACACACTGAAATTCAGGCCCATCATTTTAAAAAAGGGGATTGATAATTGCTATAGCAATTTTTCGGCCAGACTGTGGGAACCAGAAGAGGTCTTTGAACACCTTCCGACGTGCTGCTATTGTGGATGAAAGAAACGTCAACTTAGAGGCACAGTACTTATAGTCGACAATTTTGGAATAAAACAGACACAGTTTTCCTCAACACAGCTTCCGGAACGGCCCGAACAAAAGAGGTCCTTCTGAATTTGCCTTGATTTATCGTCGGTTTACCTATGGAAAGTAAATCGTTTCCTTGTCAAATGCTGAATAATTCCATAATATCATTTATTTTAAATGTGTCCTCCACTTCGCCGTATCGATTATCAAGCGGATCCTTAATACTAGTTTTTTGCAAGTTGCTGAAATATCAACACGCGTATTTGCAATCGCTTTAGGGTGTCGTGAATGCACCCGGGAGCAAAATTTACTATTGGGACTCAAGTTGAATTGTTATCGACGGGGATTTACTTTTTCTTATGTGAAAAATAAGACTAATTGACTTCCACCGGACCTTTAGAAACAAGACAGACGAACCATAGCCTACAAACATGCGAATTCTGAAAAGTTTTAACGTTTAAATGACTATAAACTACAGCAGGAATTACCAAATACCTTCTAAGTGAATCTACATGAATCTACATACATATATACATACATATACATATATACAAGAAAAGCACTCACTGCAATACGTCAAAGCCGAACTCCGGATAAAGCTCCTATCACAATGTTTACTTCGTCGATAACGGCTAGATCAGACGCTTTGCTAACTGAAGCTTGAGGCGCAGTCAATGAACAGTGAACGTGACATCTCCAGCGAAGTTATGGCACATATATTTGTCAAACCGACTCTTCAAAAATATCTTTATTTGGCTTTTTGACTGAAGCGGTGCATGGATTAATTTGTTCATGCGTGAGTAGCGTCCGCTTTACGATGGAGTTCAAATCTTGAGCTTTCCTAGGTGGCTGAATGGTGTGAACCAATTGTTGCTAAAGAGATACTGAGGAGAACTAAAGAGGATTTGGGGTGACTACTGGACCTATTGTCTGGCCAAACTTTCATTTCAGGTAAAAATTTCGAATTTCATTTTTTAATAGATTTACTAAACCGGTCTAAGATTGAAGAAATTTCTGAAACAATTAGGACGAATTTGAACGTATATTCTGTCTCCTAATGACAGGAAGGCCAAATATGCATGGGTTGTACGATATACCATAACTGTCAGAACAGGTACTAGCCAAAAGTCCCTACACGAGTTTCACCGACATTCTGCCGCTGTTTGACAGAGCTGCGAGGGGTTTGGACTTAGTCTAAAAATTTCCGATAAACAAATTTACCCAAGTTAGCGATCAATTTCTTAGTAAAAGTAAAAGTTTTAATTTCAAAACTGGAGTATCTATCAGAACGCACAGAAGGAACGCTGGGGAATCTGAGTCCTTCGCAGTCGGCAAATATGCAAAATCAATAAAAAGATATTTCGACATGCGCCGGGCATCATTCTACCCGCACCGGCATTATACTATTGGCGTGCACTCAACTAACAACATTTACAAGATCAAGCCAAACTTGAGAGTACGCAGCCTCTCTTGTCATCGGGACCTTATGCAACAGATTGAGTTACAGATGGTGGGGGCTAATAAACTCAAAAAACTGGGAATGCAAACAAAAAGCTCTAAGTCGTGTGTTAGTCATTTTGATAAAATCACGCATTAACGAAGCGAATGGAAATCATGTAAAACTGGACCACGCAAGATTACTAGTAAAAGGTAAACACATAGTATGCTGGGTTGACGTGGTCAAGTATGCATTTACATTGGCTACGTAGCGGTCGTGTGAGACTGCAAAGGGGCCACAATGGCCAGTCACCCACATTAACTGGACGATGCTGAGTTTGGATGAGTTTTCAACAGTTGTCGAAAATGTCTACCACTTATATTAAACCTGAGATCAAATAAAATCAGTTACTGCATTTTATATCGCTGTTAGCCAGTTAGGAATTTCGAGTTGGCCAAATTTTTATATTTTTTTAGTTCTCACAACAGTCGCTAGCAAACCTATCTCACTAAAACTGCTCTACCCTCCAGCAATAATATGAATTCTGGGATGTACGCTGCTCATCTTTCATATCAGGTGCTTTCGAGTAAAACATGGGTAATTAGTTCGAACAGGCATAAAAACTAGCCATGAGGTCAATTTTTCTTACAAAAGCCAGTCGACGGCGTAAAGGTAGGCCGTGTTTGCCGTTGAGACACCGGCCGAAGAGAGGATGGTCATTGTGATGATTATGCTGGCGCTTGGGATTTGCGGGATCGCCAGCGCAGAGACAGACGTTAGAAGCCTGGTAAGATAGGAAATTATTATTTTACTCCTAATCCGGTGTTTAGAATAAGAAAACATGGCCTAAATGTTTGTGGTCAACGACAGTGATGACGCATGTTTTGATATCAATCGACGCTTCGATTTCACCACATATTTTTGCCCTGTTTCTCTGACAACGGGTCAGATAAGTCACACCTTTTTTCTTGGATCCTGTTCTTCTTAGATTGCATGTCGTTTGACACATATAATTAACAGGTCCTTCATAGAGTTAAAGATATATTGGGCTCGTCACACGGTACATATTATCTCCATATCTAACACGCCTATTAATTTTGGTTCGGAATCTTTCCGTTCGATTGCATACTCCATAGATGTCACTAAGCCATTCTTACCAGATTCCCTAACCATTAACTGTTTGGAAGAGTATGCGGCGAGCTTACGGGTGCTGTCGGTAAATTATAATCGGCCTGTACATCTATACAGGGACGAGGTACAAACGGAGCATGCGAGTGATAAGTACAATCGATTATGGTTCGTCCGTTCATACGAGCGGGATATGTGAATAGAGTGGGGGAGAGAGGGGAGGAGAGGAGGCAGTCAGTGACAGTGAGGGTTAGGTTGAGCGGTGTCACAAGGGGGGGAGGGAAGGAGGTGGGTGTGCGGAGACCTGCATTCAGTTTGTCGATCCTGGCCCACGGAAGACGCGCAGCGTGCAAGAGGTTCTTCTGCGCGCACAGGACCGGCCTCCGTGGCCTGATGGTAGTTGCCTCTGCTGTTGCTAGTAGGCGCTGGCTCAGTCGCCTAGGGCAATTGGGCGTGACCTTGTAAATTACACGGAAGACTTCGTCGGGTTCCACACGACGCCCAGACTCAACCATGTGTGCGAGGATGGAGCTGTGTATGCCCTTAACTTCCCCATTCGTCAGCCATGCCGGCACGTGTTCTCGTATTCATGCGGATGGACGCCTGCTCCACAGGAGCAAGTAAAGGAGTAACTGCACATGGTGGTAGTCTATCCTTACCTTCCCCGCTTAAGACGGAGTTGGTCGAAAACAACGCTGGAACTCTTGCTGCCCGGAAGGTCCGTGAAACGGCTTGGTCAAGACGCCATCACAGAAGCTCACTCGCTGCGTCCCCTTGAAAGGGGACCTTAAGGAACAGAATTTTCTTTTCGGCGGTCGGTATAATGAGTTTTGCTGGTCATTCGGCGAGATTCCACACAATAAATCTGTCAGGATACCCGTTCTCGCGAAACAGGTCCTGGATTCTTCTAAGTTCTTCATCAACACTATCTGCTGAACAGATTTTTCTACGCCTTTGCGCCAACCAGCGGACCAGAATATGTTTTTTTGAAGGGGTACGAAACTGTAGAAATTCGTATATTGTCCAGACCAGGTGTTCTTACGATAGATGGTTCTTCGGATGTTGCCGTCTGCTCTCCTGCTTAGAAGCACGTCTAGAATAGACAGGGAACCTGCCCTTTCCACCTCCAACATAAAACTGATCGACGGATGTGCTTGATTTACAGTATACAAGAGGATGGTTATGCCGGTTTCTCTGGTGGCAATTGCAAAGATGTCATCAACGTAGCGACCGTAGTGCCTTAGCTTATTGATTTGATCGTTTAACTGACACTTCTCCAGCTTGTCCATGAAGATATCGGCTAGGAGAGGATCAGCAGGCGATCCCATAGCAACTACGTCTATTTGTCTATATATTTGGTTTTCAAAAAGGAACTGCACATTTTGTGTGCATTTTAGTATTAGTTCCTTAAGTGCGGTCGTCGAAATACCTATGTCATGGTGATTGGTTGACAGGTATTAACATATGTACTCAACTGTCTCCGTGACCGGAACGTTTGTGAAGAGTGATAAGACATCAAGTGAAAACATCACCATACCGGTTAAGTTTAGGTTTTCAACCTTCTCGATGAATTCGAAGGTGTCCCGACAGCTATTTGGTGCCAGTTGATACTGCAGAGGTTTGAGTTTCTCTGTTAACTACTCCGCTATTGCATGATAGGGAAAGTGGGGCATGTCCAAGATTGGACGGACTGGTAGGCCGCTCTTGCGGATCTTCCGTAGACCATACAATCGAGGGATGTGTGTGCCTACTGGGCGGAGGTTTTCGAGTTCGCGATCGCTTGGAGTCTGCGCAAGCAGTCTGTTAGTTGTGCTTCTACTTCGTCTGTGGAAGTTTCCTCTTTGTCGGCTTTCCTGAATTAACTGTTTACTTATAAAAACAAGCGTACGAACATGAATGCTCCTGCGATAAATGTCACTGTGTCTTTTCCCTCCACTTTTTCGACCTTTCTCAATTTGCATATAAAGCTGGGCATAGAACCTTGCACGCTGTTGTTCTTCTGGGTCACTCCGCTTCAAGAAAGGTGGAAAGTGTTGTCATGCGAGTCCAGGTGCATTTCTCGACTACTCTTCTGCGTTCAACACAGTCCGGCGCCATCTCCTCTTCAGCATAACATCTGTCTGTGGCTCCCCTGGATAGATTATTTCCTGACTTGAAGATTATTTTGCCTTCGCCCTCAGCTTTTCAGGCGGGAGCTTACTGCTCCTTCTAACTAACTGCAGAGTCCTTCGAGGTTCCCTCTGATCCCGCACCTCCTCTCAGTTCACACTGAGAGCCTGAAATCACCCAACGACTACTTAAACGCCAAACCCCCTGACGATATGGTTGTTGGTCATCCAATTAGAAACCAGACTCACCTCCATCTCTGAAGGATGGCTTAGATGATGTCTCTGTACGGTCGTTGGAAAATGGCCTTTCGCCTAACGATCAAAAATCCACCCAATATGTATTCCGGTTGCGACCCTCCCCCACTCCTGAATCCCTCGGAATTCTTTCCAATGAAACATCATCTTCCCAGTATCTCGTTGCTACTCCATCTTCAAATCGCCCATTTTCCCCTTAGTGTTAAAACTCTTTTCACTAAAATCTGTAAACCTGTTTGTTGCATTCGTCGCTTACGTTCATGCCATACTTCTTAATCGTCAATATAAGGATTTATGGTTGACTGCATTCTCCCTATCATTCTTCATTGTTCTCCGATTACTCTTTTCCACTTTGTCTAAAGAGTATGTTCTGACTTTAAGCCGTGTCCTCCGAATGCTTTCTTCTGCTGCCGGTGTATCGTATACCGTTTTAGCTGATATCTTATTACAACTATGTTTTGGGACGGTCAAACAATTTTCTAATCAAATTCTGGATGATATTGCCCATCTCCTGAATTAATTGTCGCCAGATCTTTCCATGCCATGAGCCGTGGTTTCCCGCATATCTCTTGCCGTACATCTGCAAACCAACGTTTCGTTATACCATTTCTGACATGACATCTTACTTGTAAGGAGATTGGAATGCAAAAATAGGGCTCGGATAGTCCCCATAATAAGTACGCAGACCCATTGGCCCTTTTCTTGTCTCCTTTCTTTTATCCTGGCCCCAATGAATGGAGGACGTTTCACTGATAACTGTGGAATCATACTTTCAAAATAAAGCGTATGTTTCTTTCTCTGGCCCTGTATAGTCTGGCAGCTTGTGAGGATAAACGGGGGGAATTTCGACTGTATATTTTTACATTTCCAGCTGGCTGAATTCCGTTTAAAGCCTAAAAAGCCCAGAGTCATCTTTTGCGGTAGTGACGTCATTGCGCTTCACGAATCAGCTTATGCGGCGAATGTTAGCATCACGGTATCTCATATTAAAGAGGTCCCCACAAAGTCGACTACGGTCAAATTGAATCTGCCGTCCCGACTTAGAACGGCCGCACCGCGTGTCCTTCAGTCACCACATTGAGCCATCGCAAGATCTTACGACGTTCACCAATTGGCAGTGGCGTGACGTGAAAGTGTGTCTGAGTAACACAAACTGCATACTTGATAAAACCTTCGGACAGCAACTGTGTTGTTGCCTTAAATCCTGTTAGTGTTGATTACCCGCCGTTCGGATGCGCTCCCGCACAGATGGCGTCCACGCAATCTGTCCGTTAAGCCTTTAATCTACCAAGGTCTTGTTACCGAGGATCACGCTGGGAAGGAGCAGGTAGGTCTTTGGCTTTGCTTGAAAAGTGCTGGTAATCCCCCCCACATACTCGTGCAATAAATGTAGGCAGCAATCCTACGGCTGACAGAGAGATTGAAAGGACACTATTTAGTCAGCTGGAGCTCTCCAGCTGGTCGAGTTCTGAGAATCAGAAGTGCTACCGCTGAATCGAGAAAAGCCGGTTATAGTAAGTGTTAAAACATTTAAAACCGGTTGTAGGACCATAATTTAAAGAACGGCAAAGGTAAATATTCTCATCAAAACAAAGCTACTGACTGTGACCTGGCAGATACGCACGACAGTGCAGACTGAGTGTGAGCGGGGTAATGGAGCACTTTTAAAATTTTCCTGTGGTGTAATCTGATAACGACGGCAAAATCCCAGAAGGTACGCGTCCAGGGTTTGGAAGGACTTTGTTCTTATGGGTAAAAGGCCACTAATTAACGTTCTGCGATTCGAACAATCTCAGATGGGCGAGATGCGAGCAGCGTCAATTTTACAATTGCTTCATTCTGAGTTCCAGACTTTCATAATTTGTACGGAAGCCTAAGGAAAGCTACTGCTGAGTCAATCTGATTTCGTTTCAAACCTAAAATCACACAAAGCAGACTCACCAGATGACTACTAGTGTCCCAGCTGATGGCAGTTCTGTTTCCGTTTGTGCAACGAAGACGGCGGCACTGCTGATAAAGACCGCTGGACCGTCTGCCTTGAGAGCCGTCATGAGAGGACAGCTGAATCTCGAGATGGACTGGTCCACACCGTACTGATCACAGCCTTCAAACATTTCTGGTAGTGATACGATCCTAAACACAGCAGACAGACCAAAATAAAAAAGGTGATTCGTGATCTCCAGCGCATGGGAAATAGAACATCTGTCTTTTTTGAACACCCTTAGTGAATCGTACATCATACGTGGTATTGCCAAACACAAGCAGAAGGCTCAATTTTCTGTCCAGCATTGTAAATGAAACTCATTTACCTACAGTAGGTGTGCTAACTCATGAAATCTTAACCGAAATTGCGAAATGTGCCTTTGTTTTGGATATATTCCTCAAGCAGGATTTTAAAAGTAATCACCACACAGCATAATTCTATAAAAATCCAGTTATCTCCAAATGCTGGCTTTCGAACGAAAATTGTTTCGTCTGCATGTAAAAAGCATGCTCAGAAGATGAAGATGCGATCACTGGGACAAGAAGTTTATTGGCCTGACGTTTCGGGTTCTCACTCGAACCCATCATCGCAGAGCATACTGTAAAAAATGACTAAATAAGTAGCATAAATTTGTCTCAATGATTTTCAATGCCCTTAAAGACGCAATCATATTTCATGGAAAAAATGCGTAAGAATATTCAGCCTCTTGCTCATTCGAAAGGAATTTGCGTTTTTTTTCCAATTTTATACTTGATGAGGTGGTATAATTCGGTTTTCAAAACCTTTTCCAATTCCCGAGTAATGTTGAACCCGACTTGCCGTTACACGAACATTCAGGACTTCTAAACTACAAAATATATATTTCCTGTGCATGCTAAACCATAAATTTCTCTACGACATTAAGAGGAGGTCAAATACGGTTCATAAGACGTAGCAGTGGATTTGAACCATATGGTAAACTTCACAAGCAGTATTGACAAATGTAGAGACAAGATGTTTTATGAACGGGCATTTTACGGTATTTAAAAAGCTCACAATCAGGAACTTTTAAAACCCAATTATACCATGTTGTCAGGTATAAAATTGGAAGCAGACGTTATTTTCCACTGCTTGAGTGGAAAGTAAGTACTTTTGTGATTGTTTTCATGAAATATGACTACGTTTTTAAGGTCATTGAAAAACAATGAGAAAATTTTATGCTACTTATGTAGCCATTTAGACAGAGTGTGCCTTTTGCACGCAGCCGAAAAGATGTTCGTTCGTAAAACCAGCATCCCGAGTTAACCGGATTTTAAAGAATTATGCCGCATGAGGACTAATTTTAAAACCCTGCTTAGGGATTCTATTCGAAGCGGAAGCGCAGTTCGGAATTTCGGTCAGCATTTCATGATTTAGCACACTTAATGTAAGCTCCCAAATTTAATATGATCACATTCTAATGTTAAAACCTATATACCCTGTTACAGTGATTGACATCGTTATATGAAGACATGTTAGTACACTCAGACGCAGTTACTGGCAAATTGCATGCGATATCCTCCATACATGCTTTTAGAGCCTAGGAGGTAACGATGAGTCTGTTCTTCAGGAGTTCGCAACGGGACTGCTGAAAATCTGATTATGTTTTTAATCTGCTTGGGCGCTTTTAGTTCCTTGGTCACTATTTTTCAGGTCTGTGACTGCTATGGGAAGTTTTTTACCCTTATATGAAGGAGGAAATTAAACACCAGCATGTTCTATCGACGGAAAGTCGACTGAAAACTCGAAACCGTTGCTTTCGTGATCATGTCACTTCTAGCCCGCCTAATGTACTCGTTTTCATGACTAGGAGACGACGCATAGGCAATACCTGACTTGAATTTGTCAGCAAATTTATGATTACGTTTAAAATAAAACCAAGATAAGCGTTAACCCATCATTAAAACTTGGTTTCGCTCTTCACCTTCTACCCGAGTACATAGACACACAATGAATTTCCCGGTTTAGTGAACTGAGGTAAGGGTTATGGAGTGAAAGAGCTGAACTTCCTCCTGAAACAAGAACCTCTTAGCGGAAGATGTGGAGCGATAAGTGCAATTCTGAAGATCAGTGATAAGATATGTCGATTTGTAAAAGTAATGCAGATGATGGCATACATTTTATGTGTGCTTACGGGCTGGTTGTTGCAAAGCTGATGAACCAGGCCTTTGCAATATTGCGTAGGAAGCCAAAGGGATTACGAAGAGCCACTGCCCCATACACGATCAGGCACAGGAAAAACAGGACACCGATACCTGCCGTCACCGTAAGGACAAACATTCCCAGTGCTGCAAAGGCTGATGCAATATCGCTGACATTCAGTATGGCGGCGGCGATCATGAAAGCAACTCCGACGGGTGTGCACCTGAACAGATGAAATTGCGCTGCTCATCATGTGTTGTGTTTGAATGTTTTGCATTATTTTATTTGAATATTTTCCAAAGGATAAGGGTATCCATTGAACTGTTAGTGTAGTTATTTATTATCTGCGACCATAAATCGGACTCACTGCAAAAACACTCGCACGAGTTTGAGAACGACCTCGGAGAGGGACTGAAAGAAGTCCAAAAAGGGCTTCCCAGCTTCCCCGGCTTTTCTTGCCGCCAGACCAAATGCGATGCACGTAAGAAGGACACCTGATAGATTAAAAGACACATTAGATATATATTTCGAAAATGCGCGTAAAAGCAATCCTTTCGAGAATGGGTTAATAATTTGACAACAAATCCCATTTTTCATCTTAATAGATCTTTGCATTTAGAGCCTCACTGGGTGATTAACTCCTCAATACTTATTGCGCTACAAAAGCGACCACCGCAGTGGCGACATTATAAAAGAAATGACGGAGCAGTGAGAGTGCATTTACTCAATCCAAGATCTAGAGCACGGAACATGTTTCATAAACATATTTCGTCAGGTGTTTTTGTCAGGTAAACGTTGTACGAGTTACATTTTTTTATTCAAAGGAACATGGTTAACGGCAGGCGCGTGCTTTTACTAAGCTCAGGTGATAGGCTCATCGAAGACGGTTGATGGTCCAGCGTGCACTATTTCATTAATATATAAACAGCAATCAAAAATTTGAGTAACTTTGTTCCCTTTCACTTGTGCATTCCATTGTGTTTGAGCGTCTAGTAAATTTTCTTTGGTTATCTCTTTCTACAGGTTTTCATGGATATTGTTTATTACCCTAAAATAAATTGAACCGAAAAGGCTAGTTGCACATCTACAACATGAACGAAATACAGGAAAAAACAAAAAATTACAACCCCGTTTTAAAAATGAATATGTGAAATACGTACCTATCAGATCAGTGGAGTATTCGTTAACCTTTTCAGAATATCTTTCTGTTTTATTTGGATATTTCCAGAAATATTCCGTTTTCGTCTAAAAGTTCAAGCAGATTGGTCAGTTCGCAGACAGAGAACTTCTAATCAGATTGCTATTCACCTCTGACATTATGAAATCCCTGACAGATGCTTTTAATCATAAACAGACGATCATTAAGATTTAAAACGTTCTTGCAAGAGAAAATACTACAGGAGGTCTAGCAAATGCTTGTTCTCAAAATTTTCTCACTTACCTGATAAAGGCACATTCCAACAATGTTGTTTGGGAACATGTTCCTGGGAAAGTTAAAACGCAGAAAACACCGGCATGTTAGTTGGCTATTCTGACTTTTTATACTCCTTGATGATACCTTAAAAAGGATTTGTCAATTTTGACACGATAACGCAAACACACGTCAAAATCGCTGCCAGTTTAATTGTGCCTCCTGCATCAGGACTTACAGAAGGAGGTCAGAAAACACGTCCGATGTTGTAAGTGTCAGTCCTGGGTCCTGAATCTCCGTTGAAGATGTTGTCATGTTTACGCCAACGCCTGTTAGCAAATATAAACTGTGTAGTTGAAAGTAAAGAATTGTATCCTGGTACTTTGTTTGCTAACGTGAAAACTACACCTTCAAATTGGCTATGGGAAACTAAGAAATCCTCAGAGATGGGACACTCGAACGGAGCTATCCTTTGCCCATCTTGACTCTGCACAGCACACGTTAATATCTTCTACGATGACTATTGGGATAGTCTTCTAAAGCCTTCTTTCATATATCTTAGGGTCACAAAAATGAAGAAAGTGTAGGTGTTTTCAAAATATGCATTACAACACTGAAATTGATCATCAATTAGGAAAATGGGTTTAATTGGGACTGTAAATATGATTATAATGATATGTAGCTTTCAGGTTAGTTTGTCCCCTTCGGAGGGCTGTTTTTTTCCAGGGCAAATATACAAGTGACTGAGTAAAAGGAAGTTGAATATATACTAATGCTTATTTAACGTACACATTTACTGTCAATTTCCAATTACTCGATACATTTTATCAACTGTTCACAAGAGATTCATAAAAGCCCCATTCATTACCTTCACGCGCACTTTTATCAAGGAATATTTAGGTTTCAGAAAGGTCAGTTAAGTCCTGTATATTTTGGAATACAACAAATACCTTCGATTTGGCCTAAGGCTTTCAAATTACATCCTAGACACATATTACGTATTCTTCTTACTTCGTTATGAAAACTTATGACATTTTAAAAGACGTTGATATGTATGTTGAAAGACAGACACTGCTTGAATTTCAGGTGAAAGCAAATTTGTTACTCATAAAGGCGGTAAATCTAACCATATGTTGTTTTAAAGCTGCGTTTCTGTTCGGTACTTAACTTTCATCAAATGCTCCAAGCAATCTCCGTGTAGTTGTAATTATGTAACCGTCTGCGTTTGTGTTACAGGCCCTTCACTGCTAGCTATCTGCGCGTTAATATTGACTGCCGAATCCCCCATCTCTCCACGACCTTTATTAAATGCAGCATTCAAATTGATATGACGATTAATGTATGTTTCAGTAAAGGACTTTCGGAAATTATGGACAATCCTTGGACGAGCAGGCGCCAACAGCGCGAGTTCTGTCTCAGTAAAGGTGTCTTCAGAACCCGGGATATGCATAATTGGCTCAACCAGGTACACCTGCTCCGTCACAGCCAGCCTCCATTTTAAGGAAATAGTTTTAACGGACAATTTAATCATATTCGTATCATTTGTTAGCTAGAAACAATGCAAACTAAGTGCAGTAATTGCGTAGGTATAGTTTGCACAGATGCGCGTATATAATTTCAACCACAGACCACTATCCTGCCACAAGAAGTAATTTATTTTATGCCCGTGGTAATCCGCATTGCCTTGTGCATTGAAGACTCATTTAGCAACTTTCATTAACCCTGCAGGATATTGGTCGCACGACTTTCGGCGTGTTGTGATATACTCAAGCGCGTCGGAGTTACAATAGTGACGGATGTGCCCACTTGTCATGTGGGTTCATTCCTCATTGGTGACCTCACTATCTCTCCCCATGTACCAGCAGACTACCCAGGCCCTTCGGTCATCTTCTTCCGGGGGTTAAGCACGGTGTCTGAAGCAGTAAGAAGGTCAACATCCATAGCGTGCCGCATGAGTATGTGAACTCGTATCTATAGTCCCTTTTAGTCTTAGCGCGGCCAAATAAGTGTGCGCTGTGGGACAACTTGATTTTAATTTTGTTTCAGAGTAATTACAGCCCAGATAAATTTGAGAGGGGTAAGTAGAGATCTAATTATGTTGACAAATAACATTGACTTCAGTGGAATAAATATCTACTTTGTGCGTCGTATGGTCGAGCTTAAGCTCTGTCTTCTCATTTTCAGTCATTGCAAACCTCTCGTATAAAACTGGTGAACTTTCAGTTTGCTAGTTTTGCGAGGATCACGTGGGTGTTAAGAAATAAACATAAGGAATGCGTTGAACGATCTATCCTGACAGCAGGGTTGAACACGAACAAGTGCGTGTTGGTTTCGATTTCCATCTCAGTCCCTTCCGAAGCAAGAAGGGATCGAACCGGCATGCCTATTTCGTCGGTAACGTTCCCCGGTTTTCGGATTTCTTCTCACTATGTGAAATTATCCCGAAGGATGAAAGTCATGTGACCACACGAATGCTTGCTGTATGGGACATATTTAAGCAAAACCCTAAAATTACATCCCAAGAATGCATTTGCATGAAAGTAATTTAGGGAATTTTGTACAGCCGACCTCAGTTGAGTAAAGATTAAACAGGTTTTTTTTGTTTCCAGGATAATGGTGAATATGAATAGACACGTGTAAACAGACAGCAGTTCTAAAGAAAATGGACGAACCTGGTTTAATTAATGCAGCCATGGCGGTACCAATTGCAGCCCCAGCAAAGTTAAAGCCAAGGATGTATGCAACTGTCAATACACTGCCAAGCCCTTGTTCTTTCGGGTCCAACTGAGAAATAACTGAAAAGTTAGATGAGCAGGAATGAAATGGTTTGAGTCGTCTTAGAGGAATGTGAGCCTTTTGTCATAAAAGTATAAATTAACTGATGATTAATTTTGTTTTGGCGTGAAGTGCAGATTCTCGAAAGTCTCACAAAGAGAACAGGTCTACGTCTTTTAATATAAGGGATGCATTTCGTCAGAATCGTAAGTGGGGTGCAGCCATCAGCATCAACTTCATTCCATGCCATTTGTACTGCCCAGTACTAAAAGCTCGGTATGAGCAGAAGTTAATGAAGGATCAGTAAGACGAGCTCGAACAAGGATTCCGTTGTTACTGGTTCGTTGTCTGATATGACGAGACCGAATCACCATTATCCTTAGCTCAAATCGACTGCTCTAGTTTTGAATATGATTACTAAATGCGAGTCCAAGTGCAAGACAACCTGACGATTATTAATTACAAAAGATCTTCCGTCATTCAGCGAACAGTGATCTGGATGCGGAACATGATTATCACATAGCAAATAATATAAACATTTTCGCCGACATCCTTGGGCGGAGGCTGACCACAGTGCAATATTTTTCTCCCTAAATTCAGTAGAAGGCGTCCATCAGATTCAAATAAAGAAGGATAAAGAAGACGCAAAACTCAGATCTCCTTAAAAAGGTAACTTACCGACAATGAGGTTGGAAGCGATAAGAGGTAGGATGGTTAACTCAAGAAGTCTGATGAAAATGTTGCCCGGCATCGCTAAACATAAAGCAGAAATTTATGACCGATTTTAAAAAAAGTAGGAGGCACATCCGTATTTCTGATTGTTTTGTTTCAAACTCAGATGAATTTTGAGTCACTAACGTATGCGTTAGTAGTTGCTACAATAGAAGCTATCTCTAACAACTTTGTTATAGAAAAGCGCTCAATCGCCTGCAGTCAAAATTGCCTCTGCTTAGGTGTGTTTCGCAAATCCGGTAACGATAATGTGTTCGAGTACAGTGATGCAGCTTTTGGTGCAACTCACGTTAAATTAGGATAACAAGTAGGCAAAAAGCGGTTGACATTGTTTTGAAAAATGCATTATTTTTCCGTCTATTCTAGCATAAGTATCGGCTTCTCGGTCCATTGAAAACAGAAAAACTGTAGGTTCAAATAAAGGTCTTATAATGCATAGGAAGAGCAAAATGCTGTTTGTTTTTTTAGTGGAATACAATAATTGAGTTTATTCATGGAGTTTAAAACGGGTATGATTAGGTGGTGGGGAATGACCAAATGGAGGAAAATCTTACCGATCCATACAATTGCCTCAGCAGAGGGTTTCAGCTCTCTCACGCCAAAACCGACACCAAATCCCACAACTACTCCAAGTAGGATGAAAATCACGAAAATATTGTCGCGCAGACAGCCCACACAACCACCCTTTTTCTCCTTCTGTGCTTTTCGCTCATCCTCAGTCTCATAGAAGGAGACGGCTGAATCGCCGTCATGGTCTGCTTTCTTTGTAGAGGACATGGCGACCAGTGTTTGATAACCGTCGGGAGTAATTTTTATATGCATCACTCTGACCGTGGTACGCGAGGTGTGATTTGCATGCGTAAAAACGGCCTTGACTTGGTGTCATCACGTTGGATTATCAAAAACGCATTTGCTCGTGTGTAGTGTCTGGAGGGTGGATTCGAGGAATATCTTAAGAGTCCTGATTCTCTGAGTACCACATTTAGGCGAGGGGGTTCGGATGGCGTGCGTAACTCGAAATGAACGCACTCTCGTCGTGAAGTCTTGCAGATGTCTTGGCACATTCTACACCAGTACTGTGTACTTAAATACGACTCCAATATTCGGCACGTCATTATAGTGTTGTCTAACATGCGAGTAAATGTTCCATTTTATAATGCATTTTGTGTGTTGTGAAAAAATAGGCCATTTATGGTGTATTAATATGTTCCATTTTGAGAGGCCTTACGGAAGCTTTTGAGAAAATCTCAAGTTCAAGACGGAATTCGGTAAGGCTTAGGCATACACAAGTCTGGTGCAACGTTGGGACCCTATTTTAAGTCAGAATTTAATTGTTAATACTTGCGCACAATACAGACGTTTATGTCCTGAGCTTGTGAAGTTGCTAGGCTAAAGTCAAAATTGTCTATCAGATTTGTCAGATATTATTGAAAGTACTTATGTTTCCCTTGCTCTGAGTGCATTCTCTATATTTCTAAGGAAGTCCCCAGTAGTTATTGCAGTTTGCATTGTCCGTTTGAAAGAGCACAGCCGCCGTGTTTACGTCGGAATGTTTAGCAAAGATGTTTCTGTCAATAATGCCGCGCAAAACCTCAGACGTTCGTCTTGCTTAAGGGAATGTAAGATATATACGCATTTTGGATTGCGTGAACAATAAAAATATTGATGGTGTGTTAATAGGTTCAATTTGCTGACTTTTATGAGCCTTGCAGCGTTCCTGAAAAAAAGCGTACATTTTATCCAGAGTCCATATACTGCTTAATCATCAATAAGTCTGAAGGCGAGGGACCCTTTTCTAAACTACCATACAATATATAATTCATTTTGACCTAACTGCGAAAAACTCGTCAACTAGGCGTGAATCGAACCCACGACAGCAAGGGGAAGACGTGAGTGCAGCCAGCGCTCTAGCCACCTGAGCTGAGAGACCCAAATGAGAGCCGTGAGTTTTCAGACGTTGCAGTGGCTGGTCGAATAACTTGACTCGAATGTGATTAAACTTCCTTCCTCCGGTGGGGCCGGGTAGCGCTGGTGACTAAAACTTTGGCTTATTAAAGCCTTCCCTTAGCTACCATGGGTTCGAATTCCATGGATATCGCCGCGCTTTCACAGTTAGATCAAAATGTGTTATTCAAATTCTGCCAAAACACCGACTTATTTTATGTATAGCACTTGCTCCCAACATATACATTCATGTTCAAATCTTACGAGATTTGTCGGAAAAAGTTGAGCTGTGCTTTGCGCTTTTTCCACAATTGAAAGATGATTTTTTCCTAAACATGTGTTTGAATATTGCCAATGGAAGTCAAAAAATATTTACGCATAGATCTTGATCAAATAATTAACCATGTAAAGTGGCTAAATTGTGCGCAGAATATGGATGACCGTTAGATAGGACGCCTGCCTACTGACGTCGGCAAAGTAGCCAGAAGTTTATGGGAAAGGAAGACGAGCAATAAGATGGAGGCGGCTTTTTACTCGAGGACAAATCGCCAAAGCCTTATAAATAAATATGATTAATGGGACATTTGGTGACATGAACTGTCGATGCTGGAAAGAGAATTTGTGTGGTTAGGAGTGAACCGCCGCGACGATTGTATTTTTATGGATCCGAAACGTTTCTCGACAAGGCAAAGCGGTAAATCGGGAGCAGTTAATTAAAAAGCAAAACGCGGTAGACCGCATCATAAAATTTCTTCGTTGAACGAAGAAACCATCAACATATTGATCTGGTTGCGGAATCTAGATTCCTAAGGAACCTTTCAGTAAATATTGGAGTTGGAAACAGTCAAGTTAGCGGATCGCAGGGACTACATTTAGGTCAGAATGCTTGACAAAGTTGTTTTCTGTTATGAAACCCATGCAGAGGCTCTGATGTGCGTTTTGCGTAAGCGAATATAAGAGACGTACGGCTCGTCACTGGTTTCCCAGATTTCTGAATGTGGGTCTGACATTTTATTCGTCTTTTAAGAGTTTTGCAAAATAACTATGGGCTGATTAACATTGCCGACAAAGGCAAGGAAGACTGGAATGGCCATTTCTGGCTTGTTAGCCGTCGTCAGTCGGTCATACCCCACCCCAAGGTGTGTAACACCTGGAGCTTGGTCCGGCAATCTTTTGGTTTGGAGCCCAACGTCCCAAATTACTGAGCCACGAGCGCGTATACGGTCGGTTGCGACCTTACGTCCAAAAATAGCATGACGTGACGCCACGACAGATCGCAGACATAACGCACTTCGTCTTTATTGGTCGAAGCGACTGATTTCAAATATTTTTGTAATCCGCGCACACGATGATTGGCCTGTATGTGCGATGTCGTCTACGGGGGATATTTGTGCAACAGATCTTAGTAGAAGACGACCATATATATCTTCACATCAGGCAAACTTCCATATAGACTGGAATATTTAATAAAGAATCCCCTAATGATTGTGAATTTTCCATGCTGTTTGTCTGGATTTTGCGCCCTGAAGCACAGACAGAATCCACGAAAGTCACCAAGTTAAAGCCAAGATTATAAAGGATAGCAAAACTGTCCATTTGCAAGGTAATTGATCGACAAGTCACATTTTTATCCAGAAGGTCGTGCTATTTTTGCCACTCTTCTGCTTCCTCTTTGAAACGTTGGCAGTACCATGCAACACATGTTTCCAAGACTGCAACATCTATTGACACAAGGCACACTTTAATTCATACTAGACAACAATTTCCTCTACAATTCAGACCCCAAATTGGTTGTATAGGACAACAGATCCCAGTAAAGGTTGAACGTTAGTCATCGGTTTACAAACACGGAAAAACGCTGTCATTGAGAACATGATTTGACCCCTCAGTGTTGATGACTGGGAATGCGACAAAACTTAGCCTCGGCTAAACCTATGACCTAGTTGTTAAGAACACACTGTGAAATCCCTGGTAGTTCGGTAGTAATTTTACCGAACATATTTGCATGATTCTACCAGGAAATTGCACGACTTCGGTGAGGGCCGGCGGTACAATACACGGGATATCCAACAATGTGCTCGCCACTAGGAGTACTCTGAAGGCTTTTGACCTCCAACCACCAGTTGCGCACAACTTAAAGTCTCTGGTTTGTGACAGTACCATGGTAAATGTTTCCTTTTGAATACGTCTTCAACATTTCGCCTGTTATCGGACGCTAGTCCCAGCGTCTCTTTCAAAATTCACTCTATCCGTAGCATCCCTTGCGCTTCAAACTTTAATTTTTGTCCGAAATTGAAATAAATCTGAGTGTTAAAAGATCCTCTTGCTTCTTGCGCATCTGCTCTCATTAATAAACCTTGAGAGATTATACAAAAATTAACATACAACTCAAATGTAACATTGATCCGGACTCCGGATGCAATTTTGTTCCTGAATTTTATTGAATGCCTACTTTACTTCAGCAAACAATATGAATAATCTGTATATCACTCAAACAGAACTTCTTTTTACAGGGCTCTAGTAGGGTGGTAAAAGATAATCCTGACGCAGTCTGTTTTGTAAATTAACATGTATTTGTTTCCACAGGGCCGAAAGTGGCGATGTCAGTAAATCACTCCATCACTGGTTAGTGCATTTTACACTGTTACATGAAAATCGGTATTGGTGTCAATTTGCTCCCAAATTATATTAATAGGAAACATTATTCAACATGCAATGGTATTTGCTTTCTTTTCTCTCTATGGAAGCAAAGACGGTACTAGCTTAGTGAAGCTGAACTGAAAGTTATTTTCAGATGAACGTATTGTCTTAGTCTCGTAAAACGCGTTTGCCAAGGAGACTTATTAACAGCGGACATGGTTTAATACCAATAACCTATTAACGGCACTGATTTTCTAGCATGCGTTTTTAATAGAAAGACCAGGCAACTGCATAACATGATAGTTTGAAATTTGAATGAGCTCATTAAATAGATGTTTACATAGGCATTAATTTGTTAACCCATGAGACACTGCGGAAGTCATGTTTATGCAGCAAAAAGGGAGATGTTTCGAACGGAACTCATATTGCATGGAAGAGTGTTTGACAGTTCTTGATTCGGCCATGATGCAACAATCCATGACTTGTTCTCGAGAATTTAATAAATTAATCATGTTTTTGGGAGGAAGAGGAAGAAGAAGAAGAAGAAGAAGAAGAAGAAGAAGAAAGGAAGAAAAAGAAGAAGAAGAACCGGAGGAAAAAGACTGCCACAAAAAACCGACCTTTCCAGATGCGTGCGTAAACTTTAAAATTAATAGAAGCTGCCGCCCAGCACTTGACTGAGGCATAAAGCGGAGGAAATCATCCGCAAACTGTAAGAATAAGCTTGTGCTTCTGAGGGATGTCCGGAACCCACAAATCTCTACCATTTCGACTTCGAATTTGCCTCGTAGACGGCCTCTTCAATCGAATTATTCCTGCTTTGAAGAGGCTGTCGATAGAATTTCTCAAGTGAAAATTGCAAATCGAGCCCGGAATGTCCGTTGGCATCGAGGACACGTTGGAGGAGGTTGTGCGGCGGCGTTGCGTATTGGGCGAAGTTGTGATTTGCGGGCTTCGCGTTTCACTTTGGCGGCGGCGATTTGGTTGGCTTCATAGATAGCAGCGCCCGTCTTCACTGTTCTCCTCCATGTCGGACGATCGCGGACGAGCTCTTCCCAGTTGGTCGGGTTGATTTGCAGGCGCTTCAGGGAGGACTTCAGGGTATCCTTGTAACGGCGAATTTGGCCACCTTGACGGCGAGAGCCCGTCGCGACGTCTCCGTAGAAGAGTCGTTTGGGTAGTCGCTCGTCGTC